TAAAACATGACCAATCCAATTAGCCTTCCGTTTTCTTATTTCGTGTAGGATATTCCTCTGCTCACTGACTCTAATTAACACTTCTTCATTTCTCACATAATCGGTCCAACTGATCTTCTCCATCCTTCTCCAACACCACATTTCGAAATTTTCCAAATGTTTCTGATCTACTGTCCTAAGTGTCCATGTTTAAGCCCATACAGAGCTATACTCCAAATGTAGCAGTTCACTAATCTCTTCCTCAAATTTAAGTCCAATTTGCTGGTAAAAAGATATCTAGGAAATTTATAGATTTAAGGTTCTCTTTCTCTATTGTGAAATTTATTGTTGGTTGTAGTTTATTAAATTCTATAACCATGTCGTCGATCTTTGTCTTGCTTATATCATATAATATTAATATATCGTCAACATATCGGAAATATCCAACTATGTTCTGTTTCATTAATATGTCGTATATTTGTGCGTGTTCCATGTTCTGGATATATATTTCTGCCAAAATTGCAGATGTTGGAGCTCCCATAGCTAAACCATCCGTTTGTTTGTAAAATTTCTGTTCAATCAAACAGGGAACACGTAACACGAGACACGATATACCCTGAGAATAAGAGGAACGACTTCCATAGTGGTGAAACTATGCGTGGTGTTAGAACTAGGACAGATAAGATAAATAATCTTAACATGTTTTTAGTATATATATTTATTATAATTGACGAACATTTTTTAAATACTTTTTTAAATTTTACAATGACGTAATGGCAAGCAATGAAAAAGATTTACGTAAATAGAGCACCTGATGATGGCACTGTAGTGCCGAAACATGTTGTGAAGTAACAAGTAAAATTGAGTGCACTAAAAGACAGACATTGCTTACATATCATTGACCAGAATTGTAGTTAGGTGAACAGAACTGTGGGTCAGCAGTTAATTTATGGAGTGCTGGCTGTATTATGGCAGAGATGTGGACCAGGGTTCCCATCATGCAAGGGAATACAGATACAGAGCAGGGGCAACTGAAATTGATTTCCTACTTATGCGAATCAGTCACTCCACAGGTGTGGCATGGAATTAAGTCTTTAGTATTCTACATTGTGACAGTGTTACCTTGCAGACAGAAGCGTAAAGTATGTTAATGCAAACGAGCTGGCCATTTGCTTTTGGTTCAGTGTGAAAAATATAGTGACATGTCAACATATTGCCAGGCAATGGCTTCATAAACACCACGCAACAAAAGGACAAATGTTATAGCTCATTGCTAGGCAACAGTCCAGTGTGCCAGTGAACTCACTGGGTAGGAATCGCAGTACTTGTGTTTTCAGTGTGGTCCAGGCCATGTGCAGTCATAGGTAACAGAACCATAAACACGTCTAAAATAATAATGTGTTTTCTACTTGTAGTCTGTGCCGAAGGTAGTAGTTGCGAGTAGTTGCAGCTAGGTAACCACGAGTCAAGGACACGAAGGTGTCATGGAATAGAGTTGAGACTGCAGTGCACTGTAGTTACAGAGGACCTTGCAAGAGTGTGGATGTGAAGATAAGACTTCATGTGTAATGTTTGGAGTGTGTAATTCAGTCAGACCGTTAAGAGTTCCTTTGTTTTAACTGCGTTACAATGAGACGACAAATGTGTGTGTGTTAAGATAAATAATAAATAAACCTGTCATCCAATTCAGAACCCGGGTCATTAATCACTATTACACGTGGCAGTATTTAAGAGAGGTGTATCTACTTAGGCTGTTAATTTGAATGTGTTCTGCTATTGTAGAACCATATTGATTTCAGTGTTTTTAATGTAGCAGACTTTTTACTGTTCTTTTCATGCTGGTAACAAATATACCTTGCTGTGATAGGCTGCATTTTCAGTAAAATGTTTATTTCATTCTGAAATATTCTCAATGATTGTGTACTTTGTAATCCTTTGGTTCCTTGGATGCATTTCTGTAAGTGGTTCTGAATAAAACTCTGAGGAGAAAAAAGTCTGAAATATATGAAATACAGCATCATGTTTTTGATCTCTCCCACAGTAAATGTGACATTAACATTGGACAACAGGTAAGCTAGGTCATGGTGACAGCACTCTTAACACCAGCTAGAAGCTGGACTCATACATACTGTACTGAGTACCTGGAAAAGATAATAAGAAATTTCATATACAAGGTGTGTGAATGGCTGGATTTCAAATTTATTGCCCTGTGAAATCCAGCCATTCCTTCTGATGCACCCTGTACAAGGGAAGAGGTAACATAACCCTATCCTTCTCGATAATACAAGGGAAGTGGGACTATAAAAAAAAACACAATGTCACAAATTTTGACAAACTAATATTTTGTTCAAAAGAAAAGAGAACAGACTATATAAATCACATTCTCCAGTTTTAATTTAAGAAAATAAAGTACACACAAACATCTGGTTCTGCATACTTCTATGAAGTCGACTACATTCTCATGTTTCAGGTGCTGCAAAATTTGAATTTCCAGTAAGGCAGTGATGGGGAATTAAAACATAAATTTTCATGATAATTCCTGTCGAACGCAATTCCCCAAATAACTCCCTCAGATACTACTGTGTACGACTGAGTTTTCTGGTGTACAATATGGTGGCGCTATATGCTTCATGACATACTGCCGTCCTCAAGGGATACAATTAACAAGTCTTTCATAACCGAATTGCTACTGTATATGGATTCATATATTACCATTATCTCGGTGTGTTACAAAATAAAGTGGAAAAATGTGATGTATTTCTGTCAATTTTCTAATCATCTTCATATGCACAGATTATATTGTAACGTGTTTTGTTATTGAAGACGCCGTTCGGATTGTTAATTGGTTTATTTAACTACCTACCGGTCTCGGCTACAATTAATTACAACACTGTTGCGGGGTTTCACACTTTATAACCCTATTCACAATAGTCAATTCCCTCTGTCCTCAGTAGTCTACACGTATTAATTACGATACGGGAGCTATACCAGTGGCACTGTATCACACACTCACAATTATTACTCACTTATCACAAACTATCCTGATTATCACACGCGTCTCCTTCTTCTTTCCGCGACTGCTGCTAGATTCCAACTGTGTCACTCCTGATCACACACTAACTCGTTCACTGCTGACTTGAGAACTGTCTTCAGCAGCTGGTACACATTAACTCGTTTACTGCTGACTGGAGAAACGTCTTCGGTCGCTGATACACATTCAACTAACTTCGGCGAATGTGTAGTTCCCTTTTATAGTCGCAGCGCCCGCTTGTTACGCAATGGGTACCGCTGTTTCCTGTTACCCGTGTCACAGCTGCGTTGCGTGTTACGTCACAGCGGGAAGAGGGGCGGTGTGTTGACTCGCCCATTACCATAGTAACGACAGCGCTGCGATGCCGCCACGTACCGCTGGGGAGGGAGGGGTTCTCCGTTGCGCAACATGTCACACTATAGTTGTAATCCTACACTGAACCAAAATTCAAAAATTGATTTAAAATCGTATGTAAAACAAACATCTAAACCTTTTTAAGGGTCTTAAAATATTAAACAAAGTATTGAAAATATTTAATAATTATTGTCACCACAAACCTTCGTGGGTATTGGCCTCCTCTGAAAACTTTCTCCGGCCATCCCGCCCTTGTGCCTTCGTTTTCCAGTTAACTCCACTCAATTCCTCAAATCCTCCGCACCATCCATCCATCCATCTCATTCTTGATCTACCTTTCTTCCTTTTCCATTCCGGTTTTATGATCGTTATTGTTTTTACAATTTGTCTTTCCATAACCTTCGCCACCGCCTGGTAGTGGTCAGGAGTTGTCTACATAAATTTATGAATGTTACGATGTGGGAACATAGTACTTTTCACAGTAAGATTTTTGATGTGGCATATTGAGTACTCTAACTCCATTATGATTACTAATTTCATGCAAACTCTCATTCCCAGTTGTTACTTTTGTAAATGTCTTCCTTGCCTACTTTGTCATTGAAATCTCCTAACACAATGGTTCTCAAACTGTGGGGCGCGCGAAGGGCTTGAAAGGGGGTCGCAGCATACTTTCCTACAGATAAAAATTAAAACTGCCCTAAATCAATTAGAAAAGTAACAAAAAATAAAAATACGTATAGAAAAACTTTTGATGAGTACAGGCATTAATTATCATGAATTTCAAAATAACTAATAATTATTCTCTTTACCGGCAATTAACTAATAATTATTCTCTTTACCGGCAATTATAAAACGCATATGCCAGAGACAGCGTTGATAGTTCGGCAGCAGCCGCATCCTCTTCCAGGCAGCACTGTACACGCGTAGCTGAAAGCAGCGACTTATGTCATCTCATTGGCGCCTGTTGGGCAGGGAGCAGGCAGTTTGTCGCCAGACTCAATGGTGATCCATGGGTATGCCTGTTTGATGTGTTCTTATGCATTCAACGTTTCAGTGCAGTTGGGCTGATTTGTTTACCTCTTGAAGTTGACTTGATTATGAACAACTGATCATGAAGCGTTTCCTGATTAGTGATAGAAATGAAGACACCAGTGCTCCTTCAACTAGTGGTGGGCAACAAGCTACTCGGAGTGTCAAAACGAGAAGGTACGAGTACAATGAGAATATTTATCACTAGGCTTTACGAAAACTGTGATCAATGATGAAGAACGTCCGCAATGTGTAAGCTGTCTAAGTATTTTAGCTGCAGATAGTATGAAACCTAATAAATTCAAGAGACATCTTGAAACCAAACATCCGAATTTTACAAATAAACCAAAAGATTTTTTTTGTTATAAAGCTTAGTAGTTTAAAGTCCACTCAACAGAAATTTGCTAAAACAACAAATGTGACTTCTAAGGTCCTTTTAGCCTCTTACCAGGTTTCTCATAGAATTGCTAAATGCAAGAAACCCCACACAATTGCAGAAACACTGATTTTACCAGCAGTGATTAACATAATATCAACAATGTTGGGTGACTCTTCTGCTCAACAATTGAAAAATATCCCCCTCTCTAATGACACAGTTTGTAGAAGAATTTCAGACATTTCTGACGATTTACTTCAGAATTTAATTGAGAAGTTGCGTAACAAGTGCTTTGCAATTCAACTGGACGAAGCGACTGATATTCATAAAGATGCTCATTTGATTGCGTACGTTCGTTTTGTTGATGAATGTAATATGCGAGAGGAATTGTTTTTCTGTGAGCCTACCTTGAAAACAACAACAGCCCAAAGCCTTTTCGACATGATTAATGCTTTCTTTAATGAAAATGGGATATCATGGGATAAGTGCACTGGCATATGTACAGATGGAGCCCGTTCAATGTCTTGAGTCCGTGCTGGATTACAAACAAAAATTAGAGCTGTTGCTCCCGAAGCAGTATGGACTCACTCTATGATAAATCGGGAGTCTCTGGCAGCTAAAGAACTCAGCCCACCCCTTCATGAAGCGCTGCAGACGGTTGTAAAAACCGTCAATGTTATCAAGACAAATCCTCTGAAGTCTAGACTTTTTAAA